TTGGTGGAGGTTGATGTTGAGTTATATTAATCAGTTCTTTATATATTTTGGATACTAACTCTTTATCAGACATGTTATTTGCAAATATCTTCTTGCATTCAGTAGATTGTCTTTTAGTTTTGTTAATTGTTTCCTTTGTTGTGCAGGAGCCTTTTATTTTGATGTAATCCCAATAGTTTATTTTTGCTTTTGTTTCCCTTGCCTCAGGAGACATATCCAGAAAGATGTTGTTATGGCCGATGTCAGAGAAGTTACTGCCTATGCTCTCTTCTATGATTTTTATGCTTTCATGTCTCACATTTAGGTCCCTAATCCATTTTGAGTTTCTTTTTGTGTACGGTGTAAAAAAGTAGTCCAGTTTCAATCTTTTGCATGTGTCTGTCCAGTTTTCCCAACACCATTTGTCGAAGAGACTCTCTTCTTCCCATTGCATGTTCTTGTCTTCTTTGTTGAAGATGAATTGAGCATATAGTTGTGGGTTTATTTCTAGGCTCTCTTGTGTTTCAAGGAGCAGTTATTTTCTTAAAGCAAATTTCAACTTTATAGAGATTCCAGATGTCAATGCTCTGTGGGTCCTGAAAAATATGTCATTTTGGAGGTATTTTTAATCTCATACAAAATTACTGAACTTTTAAAACCTAACCAGAGTACCTCTAACATCCCGTGGCCCTGAACACAGGAGGCTTCAGTCCTTTGCAAGGATTGGGGGATGCTGGCATCTTCTCCACAGTCTCAGCCTGGTTCAGCCTCCACTAGAGTCCCCTTCAAGTGACCCTGCTAATGGCACAGGCTTCATCCACTGCCCCTCTGTGTGCCTCTGCCTAGAAGAGTGTCATATAATTCAAGTGCAGAATTCTAACACATCTTCCTGTTACCAATGGGTTCTTTGTGGTTTTTTCCTCCTAATCTAATTATAGAAAGATAAACTGTCTGTGACTTTCAAACTGACAAGTACCTTTTTTTCCTCCCTCCTTTTCTTCGCTCATTTGATGCAAGAAAGAACTCCCAAACTCAAAACTGTTTCAAATAAAGCATCAACGTAGAAAAAAAAAAAGAATTCTAACAGAACTGTGGAGGAATAAGTACTCCAAAGCACAATATAAACCCTGGTATTCCTGGCCTTTGTGCTAGAGCTTTGATTCTTATTGCTTCAAAGTGGTAATGGAGATCGTAGTTTTGAAACCTATTGCCAAGCTCTTCTTTCCTTTCTGTGTACATGACCATTTTCATAGTCCATATTCCTATCTACCTGCTGGGGAATGGGAAATCAAGTAGGGAATTAGGACTCTTTTAACAGGAAGTCTGAGTCCCTAGGGAGGCAGTGTGAGGAACAATAAGATTTTAAAAAAATGTTTGTTTTCATTAACATATTAGAAGCTAGGTCCAGTGAACTTCAACAAAGAGACTGCCAGATACCAGGGAGAATTCAGTATATAAGGGTATTTCACTTTGGTCAGGTAGAAAAGGTACAAAGAAGACCTCACCTTCCTGTGATGGGAGTTGTGGGGTTGGGAGCAGGGAGAGGTAGGGCAAGAAGTTCAGACAGGGTCCCTGGTCACCATCTACCCCTGGGGATGAAATTCAAGGGCGAGAGTGCCATGTAACTATCCAACTAGACATAGGTCCACCTGAGGATACTGGAGCCAGAAGTGTGCCTCCTTCCATGTAGCCCAGGAGAGTTTGCAAGTCAGTAGGAGAACCACCATCTAGTATGGTGTGGGGCATTAGTGCGCCAATGGTGAGCAGAGAAGAATTGGGAGAGAGCTCAAGACAACACCAAAACCTATGTCTGGCAGGCAGAGTGCTCTCACAGGGGAAACAGAAGTTCTCAGATGCCAGTGGGCTGTCAGAAGCCTGAGGACTGAACAAAGAGGCCACAAGAGAAGGGGTTTTGAGGCTGGAGACAAAGAAACAAATAGGCAACAGACTTCAGAGGTGGATGCCAGCATCATGTCCCATTAGTGCTGGATGGGCCCAGCTGTGTCTCAGTCACCCCATTCAGAGACCCATAGACCAACCCAAGTAGCTAGAGGTTCCTCACAAGAACACAGTGGACAGCACCTGACCTGCCACCTCCCAGTGGAGCCAAAGGACAGGAACCTAAGCACGTGGATCCCAAAGCTCTCCTCTTCCTTACTGTCAAGAAACCAAGTAAGCTTCTCCCCACCCATCCCACGTGGTGCGTGTCATCTCACACGGGAGCAGTGGGCAGGGGGTGAGAAACACGAACTTGGAAGAGAATGAGCCATCTAGATGAGACTGTCTAAAGCAAAGACATGAAAATGCTCTTGATGGGCAAGTTTAAAGTCACCACCCCTTGCCCCAACTTCCAGGATGGTGGGCATAGTGGGAAAGAGCAGATGGCTAATAGAAAATAAGGTACATTTTCTTTGAACATATGTGTAAAAATGTTAAGCTGCAACATATTTATACCATAAGGGAAACAATTGTGTGTTTTTTAATACCTCCCCTCTTCCAAAAAGGATTTGATGCAGCTACAACCTATGTATTGGAAAGTAAACACTTAAGGAAAGATCCAAAGATTCAATGAGTTTTAGTAAGTAGGTATGAAGAATAGAACACCATATGTTAACTATACTGGAATTAAAAAAATAGAAAAATAGAACGATGAAAATACATTTAATACATGTGATTTGACATCTAGAAGGTTAGCATGAGAAGTGCGGTTAATTTTATCTTTTCTGTTAATGGAATGTCAATATTTTGGGGAAGAAAAGCCGAGAGGCCAGAGCTGTCTTCATCACACCTGTGTCTCCTACCTTTCCTGGAGCGTGGTGTGTGCTCAGGAAATATTTGTTCAATGAATAAATGAAAAAATAAACTGCTTAGCATCAGAAGGGATAACTTAAGACATTTTTGAGCTCTTTCAAGCCATTGAAGGGCCACATAGCAGAGCAGGGGGGACTGGGGTGGCAAGAGGTAGGAGTTGCCCCAAAGAGTTACGCCATCCTGGCCATGAGAGACCTGCATCAGAAAGAGGGGACAAAAGAAAGGAGTGGAGGTGGGGACTTTGCTGTGCATTGCCATTTCTCTCTCTTGCAGGTGTGTGTGTGTGTGTGTGTGTGTGTGTGTGTTTGCCTGTGTGTGATTGTTTCCTGGGCAAGATTGCTCATTGCAGCCTTTAGCACTATAGGACCTTCTGTAGGTTCCTCATGGAGAGACCCTCTCAGAGCAGGGACTCTGGGCCCAGGGCAGAAGGTGTTGGTCTGGGAGAAAGGCAAAGAGCACCAAGCATGGCCTCGGGGAGGCAGGGATGGCCTGGTGGCCTGAAGGTGGGAGAGTGTTTGGTCTAAAATTAGATGGGCATATGCTACTTTTAAACTTGTGTTCTATTAAATTTACAGTGTGTGATGAATTAAGAAATATTTCTATAAGCCCTGCAATGCCTTGTGGCACAATTTGACTGTGTTCTTTATTAAAAGAGTTAAGATGCCGATTTGTTAAGTGTAAAAGTTTTTTTGAAAGATTTTATTTATTTATTTGAGAGAGAGAGAGAGAGAGTGAGAGAGAGCATGAGCAGGGGAGAGAGGGAGAAGCAGACTCCCAACATGGGGCTTGATTCCAGGACCCTGGGATCATGACCTGAGCTTAACCGACTGAGCCACCCAGGCGCCCCCATTAAGTGTAAACTTTTAAAGTAGGACTAAGATAACCCCATTTTGACCTTTCTTGATTTTTTAAAAAATGCCAGAATTTTAAAACCTGAAAGCCACCACAGCCCTGTCTGCAATGTTCTGGTGCACGTACGTGGAAGTAAAAGCACAAACTGCTACTAATCGTTCCCTGAACGAGACCCTTTCTCTATCACCTCTCGGCATTTTACACACTGTTCCCTGGGCCAGAAGCACAGGCCATTCATATTCACCCCCACTCCCCCAGGGGTATGTTTGGAGACTACATCTTTCCTCAAGACACAGCCCAGGCATCACAGCCTCCCAGAGGCCCCTGAATTCTCTTCCCCCGTCCCCCCGGAACCGCTGAGCTCGGGGCCTCACTGAGTTTTCATAGCACCTGTCATATTCTTTACTGCTCATCTCTCTTCCCCACTAGAGTGTAAATGCCTTTAGGGCAGATGCCATCCATCTCATCCTCTTTGTGTTCTCAGAATTTAGCACAGAGCCTGGCATGAGGCAGATGCCCAGCCTTTACAGCAAGGTTCTGGGAGCCCCAATTCCTAGCCCTGCCCCTCCCCAGAGTGAGAGGAGCGCTATTTTCGGGGGTGGGTACGGTTCTATGTCTACATGGGTGCATCTCACAGGTTAAGCGGAAAGCGTGCCAAATGCAGAGAGACCCAAATGTCATCCCGTTGTACACCAGGACTCTGATTTCTTTTCTCCAGTCTTAAAGGTGCAGGGGCAAAATTAAGCCAGAGAGAGCACGGTCATGGGAGTGAGAATATGAAAATGCTGGCACTGTGGAGAAAGACGGTGGGAAGCGAAGGGCTTTGTCTGAGCACGGATCTGGCAGAGCCGACGCAGGCCTACTGACCTCAAGGCTGGGCTGAGTCAGTGTGCTGCCTGGCACACGTCTTTGTTTGCACAATGCCCAGGGATGGATTGCGTTTGCCTTGTGCTGTCTGTATACATGCTTTCTAAAAATGAAAACTTTATCCTTTGCCATTCAGGTGATTGGCCTTTTGCAATATAGTTTAAGGAAAAAAAAAATAGTACTCTGCTCTCATAGATTCTACAAAACTATTCTGCAATTCACCCAAATGAAGACCACTTGCCTTAACGTCCCGGGGACTTGTTATATGGGGCCCATCAATCTTTGCTGGCATTCCCTGACACTATTCGTGATCGAGACCATTGGCTGACAGAATTTGCACTGGAAACAGACTTGTTAATTAGTCTAATGAATCCACAGGAGTCATTAATTATCTAACACTTATCTAATTAGCTAACAGTTTCACCTGTCAGAGCCAGAGGTAAATGCCAGACTGGAATTCGGTGGTCCTCTTCATCATACCCTAAAAATAAATGGAGACACGCAGCACAGAATACCAAATACAAGTGTGGAGACTCCATGGTGGGAAGTGGGCACGCTGCAGCTCGGAACTGTCAGTAGTGGTTGGAGCCGTTGGAGGTGGGTCAGGAGGTAAGAGACGCACGTCATTGTAAACTACAAACAGCTATGCTGTCCCAAGTCACAGAAGCAACACACATGGTCGGGCCTATTTTGCCTCCAAGCTGTCATTACCTGTACTAAGATCAGTTTCTTCTGGGATTTTTGAATACTTTGGGCAAAGTTACAAACATCTACTTGGTGGTGGCACAGCAAGATTTAGGCTGCTATGCTGGTTCTCTAGCCTCTTTCCGTCTCATTCTGTAAGCTTTGTTCGCTGGCCAAGATGGACCAAAGGAGGCCGGCGTGGAATTCGAGGAATTTGTCCAGACTGACTATCACCACGAAGAGGAGTATCTTCAAACATGGAGATCCTACGTAGGATATGGACACTTGATTATTGACTGTCATGCACATTCTTTTTTGTTTTTTAAAGATTTTATTTATTTATTTGACAGAGAGACAGCGAGAGCAGGAACACAAGCAGGGGGAGTGGGAGAGGGAGAAGCAGGCTTCCTGCCGAGCAGGGAGCCCGATGTGGGACTCGATCCCAGGACCCTGGGATCATCACCTGAGCCGAAGGCAGATGCTTAACGACTGAGCCACCCAGGCGCCCGAGACTAATGTTTTTGAAGCTCATACTTGCATAGGACTTTAGCTGATTGCCATGAGAGCTGAGGCAAAAAAGGATCAAGATGAAGTTCCTCTAAAGTCTTTTAGAGTTTCCATCCCAAACGTATAAAGTGAAAAGAAGCAGCAGAGTAGGGAATTCATGGATTTCTTTTCTTTTCTTTTTATTTATTTACTTTTTTTTGAGAGAGAGAGCAAGCATGCAAGCTGGGGGGTGGGAGGGGGAGAGGGTGAGGGAGAGGGAGAGGGAGAGAGAGAATCTTAAGCAGTCTCCACCCCCAGCGTGGAGTCTGATGCAGGGATTGATCTCCCTGAGATCATGACCTGAGCTGAAATCAAGAGTCAGACACTTAACCCATTGAGCCACCCAGGCGCCCCAGGAATTCATGGATTTCTTAACAGGCACTCTGTTTTCTAAAAATATTGGACTGTAGTTCATTTTTCTACCTGGATTGGACTCTGACAATTGGACTTTAACTAGGGTTTAGCTAAATGAAGAGCCCCTGGGAAACAGAACTTCTGTGTGATTTTGAATGGACAAAGTTCAGATGAAGGAATGTTCTGAGGTCCTGACTTTGGATGTTTTCCTCACTTCTGATCACAAAGAACAAGACCAAGTTGGTGAGAGGTAGGGATGGGGTAAGAAAATGAAATATTTGGAAAGTGGGACATTTTGGGGACACATTTTTTAGATAGCCCAGTGGAGTTGTTATGGAAATCAATGCAAGACTCACATCCATGTACAGTTGTCTCAAAATAAATAAGTCAGTGTGCTACACTGGACCCACACTGGGACTAAGGCCAGATGTGAGAAAAAGGCTCACTGGTCAACAGTTAACAAGCTAACCAACCTGGCCAAAAAGACAGGATGACAGGATGCCACACCTTCAAAGAGAGACTATCTTCTTGGGGAAGTGCTATTCTGAGAGCTGGGTTGGAGTATAATAGGCCATGTCAAGGAGGATATTTTTGAATTAATAAGGGACTTTAGAATGCTCAGAGAAAAGTTCCACTGGCAATTTTAGAAGAAAACATAGGTTTTAAAGGAGGGTATCATTCTAACTTGGAGCTGAACTACTGTGATTTGATCTATAATTTAATAGCAAATCACAATATTTCTTTTCTGACATCAACTTAAGAATGACTATCCATATAGTAAAAGTATGGCTTCAAATTTACCTGCTCCCAATAAATCCACAAGATCTGACAGGAATATATATGTTGGGTGAGTAATTTTGATTTTTTATTTGTTCTGATGAGATGGATATTCTTTGGATTTTATATTAAATGTTCATAAGATAGGCCTCTGTGGTTATATAAGTTTCTTAAGTTTAGAGACAATACAGTTGGAACACAGCTCATAATACAAAATAAAATTAAAACAATGCACTTTTTCTTCCTGATGGCATTTTCATTTCTTGGTTCTTGGTGGCATTTGGCTCATCTAAGAAAGTGGAGGAATGTATCAATTATATCTCAATTGAAAAAAAAAAAGAAAATGGGGCCAAAAAAAATGTCACCAAAAAACATGCAAAAGGTTAACCAACCTGCAAGAGTGAACGAACTCAAAGTTCAGCCTGGGATTCAGCCTTTAATTCCAGGACCATGGGCTGTAGCTAAGAAATAATTAAAGGAGCTTCCCAGTGCCTCAGGGAGATTTAACTGTGTTACAGCCTATTATGAAGTGATTTCATGTGCTTTGTGATGGACTTTACATAGAATTCACTTCTAAAATATTGTGTATGTTATTCATCTCAGGGGTAGACATAAATCTGCCAAAGCTGTCTGCAAATTTAGCTCCAATTCTTGCCCCAGGTTCACAGAACATAATAGAGCATTAATCTTCATGAGGCTTAAGGAATTCTTGTGAGTTCCTTCTGATTCGCTGAGAGTTGTTTGAAACCTGTTGCTTAGAGCCTTTGTCATGTCAGCATTTCAGAAAATGCTCCGCTTACCTATCCCAAACAGAGGTAGCTTCCTATGTGTTAATTTCTTCAGGGAAGCCGAGGAGAGGGTAAGGAAAAATTATGAAGATGAAGGTAAGGGTAAAATGAAAGACTTCTCAACAAGCATTTTCCTTTGGTTACCAATATGTAATACTGACCATTCTGTGTAACTTTTCATGGTTTGCTGAAAGACTTTATTCTTAATCCCACCTTTGACCCATGTTTTAGGAAAAGAAAAGAAAATACAAAACAAGGTTGAGGGCGCCTGGGTGGCTCAGTCGTTAGGCGTCTGCCTTCCACTCGGGTCATGATCCCGAGGTCCTGGGATCAAGTCCTGCATCATCAGGCTCCCTGCTCCACAGGAAGCCTGCTTCTCCCTCTCCCACTCCCCCTGCTTGTGTTCCTTCTCTCACTGTCTCTCTCTCTGTCAAAAAATAAATAAAATCTTAAAAAAAAAAAACAAGGTTGAGGAGGAAACAATAAAAGATATTCTATTCAGTGAAAATATATTTTAGAAAGATCATATTACCAGATTTTAGAAAGATCAATTACCAGATTCATACTGGGTTGATTTGGTGTGATGACCAAACTAGTCTTTCTTTTGGTCACTGATAAAGTGATCATCGTAGAAGTGCTTCTTGATAAGCTCAATGGGATACACATCTTCTATGGACATGCCCTCCAATTTCTTGACCAAGGGATTATCAGACATTGGGGCAGACATCAAGGAAGACTAAAGAATAAAATTACTGGTTGTGCTGGCTTGAGAATTTCTTCTTGAAAGAGGAAATGTGGAGTAGATTGGTGATTTTAAAAATGCAAAGGTCCATATCTCCTTGACCAACTGAATCAGAATTTCTAGGGGTGAGGACCCAGGTATCAATATCTTTTAAAGCACCCTGGGTGACTCTGAAATGTTGATGGAGTTTAGAATCACTGGAGAAGATGAATGGCACTGTTTTATAGAATAATGATTTATAGATTCCATTGGGAATAGTGAGAGCAGTTTTGCAGAGTAAAACAGAAAGTGCAAAAGAAGTTGGAAGAGAAAGTGGATGGCAGTATTTCTCAAACTTTAACGTGCACGGGAATGACATTAGAGTTGGTTAAAATCAGATTTTGACTCTGGAGGGCTAGAGTGGGGACTGAAATTTTATGTTTCTGACAAGCTTCCCAGGCAATGCAGTTGCTGCTGCTGGTTCATTGACCACACTTTGTCTAACAAGGGACTATGGGTAAATGTCCTCTTGCCCTTCACCAAGAGAAGAAAGGAGGTGTCCTTTTGCCTTGAGGCTTTGAGGATTGTTCTGAAGTAGGAGAGTGTACTAACATCATGGAATGCTTTATTTTTGAAACTAGCTATGATCTACTAACTAATTAAGAATCTGTTACCCTAAATGTTTTTGAGGAGGAAGTTAATAGTACTTCTGTTCCACTTCCTGAACAGTTAAATTTAATTCAACAAATAGAATTTGTTAGGCCTTAGGGATTAAAAAAAGATATATGAGACAGCTTGCATGAGGGAATTCACAATCTTTCTGGGGAAACAGAAAATTAACATGTAAAATGCTAAATCAGTGCTCTAGGAGCGCAGTGCGGGGAATCCATATTGACCAGGGAGGAAAGATTCTTGGAAAAGCCTTCATGGAGGAGATGATACTTGAATATGAAGTTGAAGAACAACTAGGATTCCAATACATGAAAAATGGAAGGGAAGGGGAAGAATGCTTGAGGAACAAAGGCCTAAGGCAGGGGTTCCTAACTTTGGCTGCACATCAGACCATCTGGGAAGATTTTAAAAAAGTACTTTCAGAGTCTAAATTAATTGGGGCCTGGGAACCAGTATTTTTTGAAAAGCTTCCTGGTGATTTTAATGGGCAATTAAGTTGAGGATCACTGGAGATATATAAAGACACCAGGTTTTTGTTAAGATTTTTTGAGGTATTTGGAGGGAAATGGGAGGAATGCAGAGCGAAGAAATCCCAGATGGTTCCTGGCAAAGACAGCTTGACCACTGTGGTGTGGGGAAGAAAACGCATTATCACTAATAATTAAAGTCGTATATAATTATTACCGAAATAACCAAAGGCTGTGGATGATATGCTTCATAAATATGGATTAGATTGAATTAAGGTCATTCCTATAGTAGCAGTTGGCTCACTGTCTTGCATACATGGCTGGCATTGTTTTACTGTCCAGCTAGCACTGCTGTGCTAGAGGCCTGGGATGGGGCAGAGGCCACCAGGAAGGAAAGGAGGTAGATACAGCACAGGGATGGAGTGAGTCCTCAGTGGCAGTGCTCCTCAAAGCATGAAGCTTGGACCAGCAAAATCAGCACCAATGAGGAGTTTATCAGAAATGCAAATTCTGACACATACACCCCAACCTGTTGAATCCGAATTTCTGGAAGAGGAACCCATGAAGAGTCTAGTGATTCTTATGTCAGCTAAACTTTGAGAAGCACTGGTCTACAGAGCTGAAAGAGGCTGCAGGACTCATAGATTACATGCACACATACGCTCAGACACAGACATACACAGAACCCCATGGAAAGCCAAGAAGGAGGCAAAGAAGTGTGCTGAGATGGAAAGACAGGAGAGCAGGGCATATGGGAAGACTGCCATGGGAGCATCATGCTGCCGGTTCAGGATGCAATGCTCATGGAATGGGGGAAGGGACTAGAGGGCAGCCATGGTAGGGCTAGGATGGATGGTGTGGCCAGGGTGTGCTGGGATGTCACACCCAGGATGAGTGGGAGTGAACAGGTAACCATGGAATCACACTGGGTGATGGGGTGATGGG